GGCAATCATGGCCTTGTTTGTCGACGTACAGAACTGGAGGAGACGAGGCGGCTCTCCAAGGTCAGTCATCAGGTAGGTGAGCCAGCGTAACTCCTGTGCAGCCATGGCCCCTGCGTAGATCTCAAGCCTCACAACTGGAGCTGAGAATCCAGACAGACGGCGGGTAGTATCCGGCCAAGAAAACAGAGCCGGAGCCAAGGCTGAAGGTGTAACCCTGTGACGACCAGCTGCGTAGTCAAAGTCGTCAGCCCAAGAAGCGTCAGCGTGACCAGTGAGGACAACTCGAGCCCGGTCCTCCAAGCACAAGGCCCCATGCCCGACGTACTGCACAAGTAGCGCAACACCCTCTTAGCGGCAATCCATGGTGCTCCCTTCCGGTGACGGCCAGGATCGACATAGCGTGCTAGGATGCTAAGAGGGTATGCAAGGTCTGGTCGAGTGCAGGTCATTCAGGTACATGAGGCAGCCCACAAGCTCTGGGTACGGGCCACTCGGCTCTACGGACTCGTCCGAAGGTGGAGCTGAGAGCGAGTGACCGGTAGGCAGAGGAGTGGACTGAGGCGAGGAGTACGTGAAGCGGAAGCGCTGAAGGACCTGCTGCACCATGTGTGACTGAGTCAAGGTGATGGTGCGCTGTGCTCTGTCCCGGTGGATCCGCAAGCCAAGATATGCTTGTCAGCTCACCCAGGTCTGTGCACCGTGTGTCTCTTCTGCAGCTCCGACTTCACGTGGGCGAGTGGCCTCATGTCAGAATGTTTGTATTGTCTAGCCTGCAGTGGGGTACTCTATAGCGAAGTACAGCCCAATCTAGGGTTTCCTATATGTACTCAACTGCTTGCTAGTGAAACCCCTCCTTTCTTCATTTCTTACTTTCTTCTACTGGTTCTGACATGGTATCAGAGGGCGGCATGTCTGCCGCCTTCCTGTGTATGGGCCCACGACCCGCTTCCGCTGCCGTACTGTCCGCCGCGCGCCCCGTGGTGCGCGGCGGCGAAACCCTAATTTCTGCCCGCCGCTGCGCGTCGGGGCGCCTGGCGGTTTTCCCTTCCGTGGCGCCCGTCGTGGTGCCCTTGGGGGGGCCTCCGCGGTCCCCTCCCGTCGAAGCGCCCGTCAAGGCGCTCTCGGGGGACCCGCGCCGGGCCTCCCCCCCTGTCGCCCGTCGAGGCGACCTCGGGGACCCGCGCGGCCTCCCCTCCCGTCGCACCGTCGAGGGCGACCTTGGGGGCCCGCGCGGCCTCCCCACCAGTCGCCCGTCGTGGCGACCACGGGGGCCGCGCGCGGTCCCCTCCCGTCGCCCGTCGAGGCGACTTCGGGGGCCGTGCGCGGCGCCCTCCCCGTCGCCCGTCGTGGCGACTTCGGGGGCCCGTGCGCGGCCCTCCCCGTAGCCCGTCGAGGCGACTTCGGGGGGGCCCGCGCGGCGCCCTCCCTGTCGCCCGTCGAGGTGGCTCTGGGGGCCCGTCGCGGCGCCCTCCCTGGTGCCCGTCGCGGCGCCCCGGGGGGGGGCCGCGCTGGCTCCCTTCTCTCGTCGCCCCTCGGGGCGCCCTGGGGGCCCGTGCGTTTTCCCCACCCCGCTGCGGCCGCCCCTGGAGCCGCCACTGCCACTGCAGCAGCAGCCCCTGGAGCCGCCCGCACCTGCAGCAGCCGCCCCTGGAGCCGCCCGCCAGTGCAGCAGCCGCCCCCTGGCAGGCAGCCCGCACCTGCAGCAGCCGCCCCTGGAGCAGCCCGCACCTGCAGCAGCCGCCCCTGGAGCAGCCCGCACCTGCAGCAGCCGCCCAGGACCCGCGCGAGCCGCCTCTGCAGAAGCCCGCCCCGTCCCCCCCCCCACCCGCCCCCCCCCCCCCTGTTTTCTCTGCCCCTGCGCTGCCCGCTGTCCCCCGTGCTTCTGACGGCGCCCCCCCCCTGCTTCTGCCCGTTCTCCTGAATTAGGGTTTGGGGGTGGGGGGTTATGGGGGTGCAGTTTCTGTGCGTCGTCCCCTACTCCTCCTCCTCCTCCGTCTCCCAGTGGTGCAGCTGCCGCTGAGGGGGGTGTGTGTGTGGGAGCCGAAGGAGTGGTACTAGGGGGGTGACGTGCAAGTGGAGTTAGGAGTGAAGGCAGTGGGTGTGTGGGGGGTGTGTGGGACAGTTGGAGGAGGTTGAGCGGAGGCTGCTGTCTTGTCGTCCGCAGCACCTGTAGTCCGGGGGCGCACTGTCCTGGTAGCCCAGAGAGTCTGCTGCGCCTGTCGCCCGAGGGTCCGTTGCTCCTGTAGCTCGTCGTAGCCCGTCAGCCAGTTACTCCAGTAGTCCGGGGCGCACTGTCCCGGTAGCCACCTGTGCCAGCAGCTCCTGTTGCCCGTGTGTCTGCAGCTTCAGCCGCCGTCTCTCATCTTCTCTCCTGTCACAGTCCCTCCTCCTCCTCACTTGCCCGCTGTGATTACCTCTAGCTTTGCTTCTTATTGTGAACTCCTGCTATACCTGCTCATTGTGCTGATTACACCCCACTTTGGCTATGGGGGTGTGTCAGAATGTTGTATTTGTCTAGCCTGCAGTGGGGTACTCTATAGCGAGTACAGCCCAATCTAGGGTTTCCTATATGTACTCAACTGCTTGCTAGTGAAACCCCTTCCTTTCTTCATTCTTACTTTCTACTGCTGGTTCTGACACCTATCAGTGTCAGCAGTAGCAAAGACCAAGTCGTCTACGTACACGAGAACGTAGAACGGCGGCAGAGTGGTGTCGTGGCGTAGAAACAGTGACGGGTCAGCAGTGGAAGGAGCAAACCCAAGAGCAGTAAGAGTAGTCCTCAGTGTGTCGTGCACTCACGGGGTGCCTGGCGGAGACCGTAGACATGGCCGCCGGATGCTCCATGGGTACCAGCAGGAAACGACCCAGTGAAGCTAGGTGGGCGGCGCAGCCAGATCTCCTCGTGCAGGCTGCCCTGTAGAAAAGCAGTGCTGAAGTCAAGAGAGTGGAGCTCGTAGTCACGCTGAGCAGCGACGTGCAGCAGAACCCGAAGAGTAGTCATCTTCGGGGTAGGGAAGAAGGTCTGGGAAGAAGTCAACTCCCTCACGCTGACTGAAGCCTCGTGCAACGTAACGCGCCTTGAAGAAAGGCGGAGAACCCGGCGGCCGCCTTCACCCTGAAAAAATCCACATGCCACTGACGATGTTCGCCCCAGGCGGGGGAACCTCGTCGACGTAGGTGCATGTGGACTTCCAGGAAGCCATCTCTGCGTCCATGGCTGACTGCCACTGAGAGGAGTAGGGACCCTCTATCGCCTCTGCGTAAGAGCGCGGGGTCCGGGATGTCTGGTGCATCCGGGTCTCCCTCAGGGGGCAATCAGCATGGACACGAGATGAGGTAAAGCAAGCGGCAAAGCACTCAAACTCCTCCTGTCTGTCCTCAAGGACGTCCGTGCCAAGGGCACACTCACCCCCGACGGACGGAGGTACAGACAGACTCAGACTCCAGACTCAGCAACAAGGCTAGCGGCGTAGTCTAGACGACAGGCGGCAGCAAAGTCAAACAAGCTCAGCGACTAGAGCAGACGCGAGCAGTGGACTCAAAGGTAGGGTCAGGTGACAACAGTGGCGAGGAAACGCGTGACAGTAGGACTGGCAGCACGAAGGGAGTCAGACTCCGGGTCAGCAAGAGCAGGAAGAGAGGACGCTGGAGGAGACGGCAGAGGGACACGCTGTGGAGCAGTGGAAGGACGCAGAGTCATATAGTGAGTGCCAGGGACAGGAGGAGGACGCTCACGCGGAACACGACGACCAGCGCGGGCAGCACGGACAGGCAACTCCGGACGAGACTCAGGCGACGCAGGACGAGACTCAGGCGACGCAGGACGAGACTCAGGCTCACAACGCTCCGTAAGACCTCTAGTCGGCCCAGCGTAAGGAGAAGGACTAGGCAGCGGAGAGGCAGGCTGTAACTGTGACTGCGACTGGACAGGCGGTGGACTCAGTAGGGGAGGAGTAGGACCAGTAGGGGGCGGGAGGCCAAGAACTTGCTGAAGGAGCGGAACGTAGTACGGCCGCGGCCGCGCAGCTCCTCCTAAACCAGCAGAGACAGCACCAGCGCCCTCAGCTCCAGGGTCTCCAGCTACAACTCCCGCAGCACCACCAGCAGCTCCAGCAGCTCCAGCACCTCCAGCTCCAACTCCCGCAGCAGCTCCAGTCCCAGTAGCTCCAGTACCTCCAGTATGAGCACCTCCAGAACCAGCGGCTCCAGCAGCTCCAGCACCAGCAGTACCTCCAGTAGCTCCAGCACCAGCAGCACCTCCAGCAGCGCCAGCACCAGCAGCACCTCCAGCAGCTCCAGCACCAGCAGCACCTCCAGCAGCACTAGCAGCACCTCCAGCAGCACCAGCAGCACCTCCAGCAGCTCCAGCACCAGCAGCACCTCCAGCAGCTCCAGCACCAGCAGCACCTCCAGCAGCACCACCAGCAGCGGCTCCAGCTCCAGGGTCCTCAGCACCAGCAGAAGCTCCAGCTCCAGGGTCCAAAGTACCAGCATTGCCACTCCGGAGACTGCAGCGCCGAGCGTACCACTCTCGGAGCCGCTGAGGAGAGGGCGGCTCCCGCATAGGCGGGGAACCACGAGTACCAGCTGCAGCAGCACCCCTAGCCCCAGAAGCGCCCCTCCTGAGGCTGCAGTACCGCGAGTACCACTCACGCAGCTGCAGTGAAGAGGGAGCGCCTCTAGGCGCCTCACGGTCAGTCGCAGCACCCCCAGGCTCAGTACCCTCAGACGTAGCACTCTCAGGCTCAGCACCCCCCAGACTCAGCACCCTCAGGCTCAGTACCCCCAGGCTCCGCACCCCCAGGCTCCGTACCCGCAGGCTCAGCACCCCCAGACTCCGCACGCTCAGGCTCAGCACCCCCAGGCTCCGCACCCCCAGGCTCCACACGCTCAGGGCTCAGCACCCCTAGCAGGACGAGAGTCGACAGCTACCTCGACAGGCTCAACCGGGTCTACCTGGGACACACCTGAGGGAGCGGCACCCTGAGGGGGGAGGGGGTCTACGACGGCAAGCACCTGGTGCGAGGAAGAGAGGCGGGGGGGGGAGCGGGGCAGTGCGGTGAGTGGAAGAGGCGGTAGTAGGGGACCGACTCGTCGAAAGTGACGTCCTGAGAGGGCAGGACACGGTGCGATGGTGGGCGTGGTAAACTGCCAACCAGACGCAGTCCGGGACAAAGCCAAGGAGGACACAAGGAACAGCGCGGGGAGGAGAGCTTGTCCGCGGACGTATCGCGGACAAAAGCACGAGATCCCCAGACCCGGAACACCGACGCATCGCCAACCTCTCCCGTCCAACGCAGTGTCGGCGAAGTCTCCGGAACGGAGACACGGGGCCAGAGGTTGAGCTGATGCACAGCGTATCGGACCGCAAACGGGCCACAGAAAGTGGGGGGCAGCCGCATGGATCAAGGAGGTACGAGCGACCTCCATGACCAAGCCAATGCGGCGCTCAGCAACCCCATTCTGCTGTGGAGAGGCCGGAAGCGTGAACGACTGCTCAATGCCCTCTCCCCACGACAAAAGTCCCTCAAGAGGTCGGAGGAAAAACTCCCCACCTCTGTCAGAGTGCAGACGCAGGACAGGAAAGTCCGAGTGGAACCTCTCGCTGAGCTGGAGACGGGCAGCGCGGATCCAAGGGATCAAAACATCAGGGACTTCACCCTTGGTGCGCAAGGGGAAAGACCGTGGTGTAGCGCGAGTAGTCGTCAACAACTATCAAGAAGTACCTCTCGTGACCCTGTCCACGGACGCGGGCTGGGCCCCACACGTCCATGTGGAGGGTCTGCAGGGGAGCAGTCGTCGGGGGAAACGAGGAGGAGTGAGGAGCAGCGCGCTGCCGCCCCTCGACACAGGGAAGACAGGGAGGAGCATGCGAGGGTGGGAGGGGAGGGAGAACCCTGGAAGACCAGAGACAAGGTACCGGGAGTGCATGCCACGAAGGCGCTGCACTGATGGGTGACCAAGGCGGTGGTGGCCAGAGGACGGTCTCGTGCGACAGGGAGCGACACGAGCAGGGGGGCGACAGCTGACCTGACGCAGACGTAGACGCAGCTACCTGAGGGGACTCAGTGGTCAGTGTGTACAGGTCCGACCCCGGCTGCCGAGTGAAGGTAGCCAGGTGGCGACCCGTCCGAGCACACGTGCAGTGGGTCACTCGCTCATGGGCAGGGGTGAACTGGTGAACACCCCCGTCCTGGAGAGCAGAGCCCGCCACCAAGTTCGTAGAGAACGAGGGGAGGTAGAGACCTGACAGGGTGCCGGACGGGACCGCAGGACAAGGGAGGACAGTGGAGGAGGTCGCAAGGACAGGGCCCCCGGAGGGGTCTGCCAGGGAGACAGCAACAGGCCGAGCTAGCTGCTCAAGGACAGTGCGGTCACGAAAGAAGCAGCGGGAAGCACCCGAGTCCAGTGTGAAGGTGTGCAGTGCCTCAGTAGACGCAGTACCAGCAGGCGCAGAGGCACGAGCACCTGGAGCAGCAGACTCACTAGCACCTAGAGCAGTAGCCTGACCAGGACCTGGAGCAGCAGACGCACTAGCACCTACCTCACTGGTCCCAATACCCGGGTCTGGCGGTACACGCAGGTAACAGTCACCCGCAGCACTAATAGTCAATGCATACATGGCACCAAGGATAGCATCAAAGTCAAGAGCAAAGATATCAATGTTCATTTTCATCAGATCAGCCCAGCGGGGCAGCTCAGTGGCATCAGGAAACTGCGCACGCCAGGCGTCGTCGAGACGAAAGAAGCAGCGGTGTGCCGTGTGGAACCTCCCACAGGTCTGGCTAGTGCGGTCACCTGTGCGGATAAGGTACGGGCAGGTACCTCCACCCCCAGACCCCCCACGCTGAGAGTACCACTCACGGAGCTGCTGGGAGGACGGGGTCTCGCTGGGACGCTGCTGCTGCTGCCTCTGGCCACCACCGAACCCTCCACGCTGCACTGCTCCACCGCGCCCGCCACCAGCTCCACCGCCGCCACCACTACCACCACCACCCTCGCCACCCCCACTACCGCCGCCGCCACCACCCCCGCCTCCGCCACTGACCCCCCCACCACCAGCACCACTCCCACCACCGCCACCACCCCCGCCTCCTCCACCCCCTCCACTACCGCCACCCCCGCCTCCACCTCCGCCACCCTTACCCCCCTTTCCCTTGCCGCCCTTGCGCCTCCAACTAGGAGCAGACGCAGCCCCGACCTCCTCAGCACCGAGGAAGTCGACAGCAGTAGCAGATGCAATGGAGGGGAGAAGGGGGGAGGGGGAACATCCCTCAAAGAAGGGAGTGCGAGGGTCGCCACGAGAGGCACCTACAGCTACAATGCTAGTCTCAGCTGCAAGGAGCTCCTTCTCGAGCAGGTCGACAGTGAGGTCAGTGGGAGAGAGGGCGAGAAAGTGGTCCCTGACAGCGCGAAGAGAGTCAGGGAGGCGAGTGACTAGGTGGTAGAGTGTGAGGTACATCGGGGGAGGGTTCTTGGCGAGGAAATCAGGAGGAAGTGCGGCACGGTAGCGGAGATCACTAGTACGGAGGTGAGTGATGAGGTCAGCTACAGTGGCAAAGGCGGACAGATCGGGGAAAGGATAGGGCTGCGAGAGACGGCCTATCGCAGCAGTAGCAGGGGAGGAGTAGCGCGCAACTACAGCATCGTACAGCTTCTTAGCGGTCTTATGCTGGCCAAAGTGCTCGCGCTCATCTAACGGCAGGTGGCTGCGAACGGCTAGGCGAGCGTGAGGTCACGGGTCTGCCACTGTGAGCGAGCTGTACTGTCAGCAGTAGCAGCAGGAGCGGGGGCTACGCCGGACGTGTGGTCAAACAGGGAAACATCATCCTTGGCAGTGATCTGGAGGAACAGGTGCAGGTCATCGAGCCAAACGTCAAACTTGATCGGACGGCCCTCAGCGTCAAAAGTGAGAACGGTAGGACTGGCCATAGTGGCAGTAGCAGCAGTAGGAACAGTAGTAGCAGTAGCAGGAGTAGCAGTAGCAGTAGCAGGAGCAGCAGGTGCTGCAGGTGGTGCACAGTAGGGCAGCGCGGCTCGGCCAGGGCGGTGCGACTCGGGCAGGACGGCGCGGCTCGGGCAGGACGGCGCGGCGCGGCTCGGGCAGAGAGGGTGGGCCGGCGCGCGGTTCGAGGCGGCGGCCTACGTGCGGGCAGCGGCCTACGTGCGGGCGGCGGCCTACGTGTGGGTGGCGGCCTACGAACGGGCGGCGGCCTACGAGGGCGAGGCGGCGGCGCGCTCCGGTCGACGGGCAGCACGAGGGCTGCGCTAGGGGCCGCGCAAGGCCAGGGCGGGCTACGCGTGGGCGGCGTCGACCGCGTGGGCGGCTAGGGGGTCGCGCGCTCGAGAAAAGGGCCGCGCGCGGGCGACTAGCAGGCGACACGCGCGAAAACGGGCCGCGCGCGGGGCGGCTAGTGGGCTACGCGAACGAAAAAATGGGGCGCCGCGAGGGCGCACTAGGAACGAGGCGCACGAGGGCGCGAGTAAGAAAGGGCGCACGAGGGCGCTACTAGCGGAACGGTGGGCCCTTAGGAACGGTCGGTCCTAGGTTCCTAACCTAGGCTCGTAATACCATGTCAGAATGAGAGAAGTGATTGAACTAACAAGATTGGGAGTACAAGTAGGAAAACCTAGAAGTTGTACCCCCTAAGACTAAACCCACTATAGCCTACAGAACACAAACATATACAACATTTGACACCCTCTGGAGACGCTGTTCTTCATCGTCAAGACTGACGCACCCATCGAGATGTGGGTGCAGCTTGTCAGGCATCTCACCAGCCGTGGCACTCCTGGCTTCCCCAAGAGTGGCTATGGCTCGTACTGTCAGAATGTTATGTTTCTCTAGTCTGCAATGGGGTACTCTATAGTGAGTACAGCCCTGTTAGGGTTTGCTATATGTATCCCAATGTTTGTTAGTGAACCTCCTCTTTCCTGTTTCTACTTTCTAGCTGTTATTCTGACATGCTATCAGAGCGACTACGCTCCTGGCCTGTGGGCCCACTTGCTTCCGCTGCTGTCCTGTCTGTCGCGCGCCCCGTGGCGCGCGACGTTTTTTCTTCCCGCCACGCGCTCGGGGCGCATGGCGGTTTTCTGCCCGCCGCGCGCTCGGGGCGCGCGGCGGTTTTCTGCCCGCCGTGCGCCCCGAGGCGCGCGGCGGTTTACTCCCTCACGCGGCGCCCTGGGGGCCCGCGCGCTGCCCTGCCCGTCGCCCGTCGAGGCGCCCTGGGGGGCGCGCGTCGCCCTGCCCATCGCCCGTCGCGGAGCCCTGGGGGCCCGCGCGTTGCCCCCCCTCCCGTCGCCCGTCGCGGCTCCCTGGGGGCCCGCGCGCCGCCCTGCCCGTCGCCTGTCGCGGCGCCCTGGGGGGCCGCGCGTCGCCCTGCCCGTCGCCCGTCGCGGCGCCCTGGGGGGTCGCGCGTCGCCCCTCCTGTCGCCCGTCGCGGCGCCCTTGGAGCCCGCGCGTCGCCCCCTCCCGTCGCTCGTCGAGGCGCCCTGTGGGCCCGCGCGCCACCCCGCTTCCGCTCACACGCCGCCGCCCCAGCTGCTGCCCGCGTTTCTGCCCTGCGTTGGGGGTATTGGGGTGGCGGGTATGGGGGTGGCAGGTGTGTGAGCCGTCCCCTGCTCCTCCTCCTCCTCTGTCTCCCACTGCTGCAGCTGCCGCTGAGGGGGGTGGGTGTGTGGGAGCCGAGGGAGTGGCGCTTGTCAGAACTAGCAGTAGAAAGTAAGAATGAAGAAAGGAGGGGTTTCACTAGCAAGCAGTTGAGTACATATAGGAAACCCTAGATTGGGCTGTACTCGCTATAGAGCACCCCACTGCAGGCTAGACAAATACAACATTCTGACACACCCCCATAGTCAAAGTGGGGTGTAATCAGCACAATGAGCAGGTATAGCAGGAGTTCACAATAAGAAGCAAAGCTAGAGGTAATCACAGCGGGCAAGTGAGGAGGAGGAGGGACTGTGAGAGGAGAGAAGATGAGAGACGGCGGCTGAAGCTGCAGACACACGGGCAACAGGAGCTGCTGGCACAGTGGCTACCGGGACAGTGCGCCCCGGACTACTGGAGTAACTGGCTCACGGGCTACGACGAGCTACAGGAGCAACGGACCCTCGGGCGACAGGCGCAGCAGACTCTCTAGGCTACCAGGACAGTGCGCCCCGGACTACAGGTGCTGCGGACGACAAGACAGCAGCCTCCGCTCAACCTCCTCCAACTGTCCCACACACCCCCCACACACCCACTGCTTCACTCCTAACTCCACTTGCACGTCACCCCCCTAGTACCACTCCTTCGGCTCCCACACACCCACCCCCCTCAGCGGCAGCTGCAGAACTGGGAGACGGAGGAGGAGGAGGAGGAGCAAGGGACGACGCACAGAAATTGCACCCCCATACCCCCCACCCCCAAACCCTAATTCAGGAGAACGGGCAGCAGCAGGGGTGGGGCGCCGTCAGAAGCATGGGGGACAGCGGGCAGCGCAGGGGCAGAGAAAACAGGGCGCCCACGGGCCTGGCGCAGCCCGTACGAACCGCGTGCGGGCGGCCCGAGGCGCGCCCTGGCCTGGCGCAGTCCGTACGGGCCGCGCGCGGGCCTGGCGCTGCCCGTACGGGCCGCGCGCGGGCCTGGCGCAGCCCGTACGGGCCGCGCGTGGGCCTGGCGCAGCCCGTACGGGCCGCGCGCAGGCTGTACGGGCCGCGCGCGGGCCCTACGCAGTTCGCGCAGGCCGCGACGGGCGACGGGGGGCGACGCGCGGGTCCCCGTCGCCCGTCGCAGCGCCTCCCGGGAGCGACGCGCGGAGTGACGGGGCAGAAAGCCGCCGCGCGCCTCGGGGCGCACGGCGGGCAGAAAACCGCCGCGCGCCTCGGGGCGCACGGCGGGCAGAAAACCGCCGCACGCTCCGAGCGCTCGGCGGGATGAAAAATCCGTCGCACGCCACGGGGCGTGCAACACACAGAGTAGCAGTAGCAGCGGAAGCAGTGAGGTGGTGGGCCCACCCACAGGATCGACCCAAGGGGATCGACCTGCTCTGATAGCATGTCAGAACTAGCAGTAGAAAGTAAGAATGAAGAAAGGAGGGGTTTCACTAGCAAGCAGTTGAGTACATATAGGAAACCCTAGATTGGGCTGTACTCGCTATAGAGCACCCCACTGCAGGCTAGACAAATACAACATTCTGACAGCGCTAGGGGGGTGACGTGGGAGTGGAGCTAGGGGTGCAGCAAGGGGTGTGTGAAAGGGGGGTGGGACAGTTGGGGGAGGTTGAGCGGAGGCTGCCGTCGTGTCGTCAGCAGCGCCAGTAGTCCGGGGCTCTGCTCCGGTAGCCCAGCGAGCCTGCTGCGTCAGTCGCCCGTGGGTCCGTTGCTCCTGCCGCTCAGAGTTAGCCGCAGAGCCAGTTACTCCTGTACTCCGGGGCCCTTTGCTCCGGTAGCCACCGTGCGCGCTGCTCCTGTTGCCCGTGTGTCTGCAGCTTCAGCCGTCGCCTCCTATCTCCTCTCCTCTCACAGTCCCGCCTCCTCCTCCTCACTTGCCCTTTTGTGAATGCCTCTATCTTTGCTTGTACTTGTGAACAAGTATCTTGCTGTGCTGCAGCTTCAGCCGTCGCCTCCTATCTCCTCTATGACTGCTTGCTGTGCTGATTATACCCCACTTTGACTATGGGGGTGTGTCAGAATGTTATGTTTCTCTAGTCTGCAGTGGGGTACTCTATAGTGAGTACAGCCCTGTTAGGGTTTGCTATATGTATCCCAATGTTTGCTAGTGAACCTCCTCTTTCCTGTTTCTACTTTCTAGCTGTTATTCTGACACGTACTACACCACGTAAGAATGTATTTTTGAATTTGATTCTATTTATTTTTGTTTTTGTGAACGAAGTACTCACATCTCAGTGTTGTCCCACTTGCAGGTACAACAGCGCGAGTACATCGACTCGAGCCCGTTCATCGGATTAAGTTGCAATGAGAGTACCGATCGTGTGCGAGGGAAGCACATGATCGTGTTCGTGACGTTTCTTCCGCGAGCATGTGGTAGCAACCGAATTTCTCACACTTCTAACAGTTGACAAGTGTGACGCAGGGTCCCTCTACGGAGTCCTAACCAGGTACTTGGAGAGCGTCAACATCGACCTGAGCAAAGTCACGGGAATCAGCACCGACGGCGCCATAGTGATGATCGGCGGCAGCACGGGTCTTGTTGCTCGACTTCGCATATCCATCCCCCATTTGGTTTCGACCCACTACATCGCACACCGGTGAGTCCGCTTCAGCTTATAAAAATCGACTTACCTAACTCTTGCGTGTTCTATCCTAAACCCTTGGCAGGGAGCCACTAGCTGCCAAAGACTATGCGACCGCCCTCCCTGAACTCGCCCGGGTCGACTCCTCCGTCATTCGTGCTGTGGCTGAACATCTCGGCTGCTCCTACAACTCTCACGCGACCTTCCATGGTCTGCAAAATATGTTATCGCAGACGATTCTGGAGGTGCAGGGCATCTACGCGATCCGGTGGTTGAGTCGTGGTGACGCCATCGCTCGTCTGGTGAAGGTTCTCCCGGCGGTGGTGGTCCTTCTTGAGCGGCTGGACCCGACAATGTACCGGGTGGTGACATCGCTGATGGTCAGCCGCGCACCCATGAGGTCACCCTGCACAAGGAGCCCATTCCCCGCTACACCTCGTACGTCGGCGACCTCCAGCCGTGCACGAGGACGTGTCGCTCGTTCGTGACAGAGTTAATTTACAACCTCAACTTCCATCTCGGTAGTCTGTCAAGCCTCAACGCTGCGAAACTCTTCATGCCGTGAACGTGGCCGCGAGGAAGAGAGGCGAGAGACGCGGAGTGTCTTGAGCATCTGGACGGCCTCTTCACCCTCTTTTATGCGCGCGAGCGAGAACAAGTAGTACCAGGTGAGACTATTTAACGAGGACGTGCCAACGC